GCCCCGACATCCATGGTTCCCCACCATTCTTTGACTTTCCAGGAACAACTTTCTTCACCTTCCTCGGGTTCCATGTCTACTCACTCAACAACACAGCGCTATTCAACATCCAGATCTACTTTCTCTCAACCTTATGGCTTGGCTCATTCAATAATGGGTGCTTTCTCCTCAGTTCCAAAGAATTTGCCAAATACAACAAATCCAACCCTTCGACACTACTCTCGCCTACGTCTCAACCTTTGGACGAAGTTGTACCATTGGTATCGACATCGGTACCGACACCCTCGTCGAATCCAAGCACCCTTCATCCTGACATACAGTTTATTCTCCAATCTGTACTAAGACTGGCTATGCACCGATCCTATAATGCTAACTGGAAGCGTTTTACTTCTTTTGCTCTGGCCAATAATTTCGCTCCTCAGTCAGCTACTATCAAGAACATTTTACAATTCCTGCTTTCTCTCCACCAAGACGGGCTTAAACCCTCTTCCGTTAAGGTGTACATCGCAGCCATCTCACATCATTGTGGTTCTATCTCCAGCTCCTCAGTATTCTCACATTTCCTCGTCTGTCGCTTCTTGAGAGGATTACAGAATCTCCAACCACTGATCCGATCAGTAGTACCGACGTGGAACCTCTCTGTTGTTCTTCATGCTCTCACTAAGCCTCCCTTCAAACAGTTAGCCATGACCGATTTACACCTTCTCTCCTGGAAAACGGCTTTCCTAATAGCTATTACTTCAGCCAGAAGGGGTAGTGAACTCTGTGCTCTACGGGTTGATCCTCCTTACCTGAACTTTCACAAAGAAAAAGTCATTCTCCATACTGACTCAATTTTCCTTCCTAAGTTCACCTCGCCTTTCCATATCAATCAAGTTATTGTCTTGCCGGCCTTCTTTCCTTCAACCTCAACACTGATCAAAAGCTCCCTACATACACTAGATGTTCGATGATGCTTACCTTTCTATCGATCTCAAACTGAATCCTTTAGGGAAACTAAGCACCTTTTCGTCAAATACTCAAGAGCATAACAAAGGGTCCCCAATTACTACCCAGAGACTTACCAAATGGATCGTAGAAACAATTGAACTGTCTTATCGTCTATCCAAACTAGATTTACCTGTTACGCCTAAAGGACACTCTACAAGGGCTGTCGTGGCGGCCTCTGCCCTTTCTGCTGCATTCCCATGCATGACATCTGCATGGTCTATCCTGTGTACTTTCACGAGGCATTACCGGCTAGATGTTCATGACAGACAGGACTGCCCTTTCGACCATGCAGTCTTCTCCTCAGTTCTTCGGTGACGACACCGTCCTGCCTCTGGGTGTGCTAAGCTTACTAATCACCCATAATGTGCGATGCACAGAGGCCATGGTGACGAAAGGCAGGTTGCTTACCTGTAACTGTCGTTCTTCAAGTGGCCATCTGTGCATTCACACAACCAGCCCACCAGCCCCACTTGGTGTTGGTGACCGGGTTGACAAGAGTTGCCTGTTTTTTATACATGTGTATATCCTGCTTACTGTGTATACATGCTCACACATGAGCATATCTACCTTGCTGTTTTTTGACAGCTAATTCATATTTGTCACTTCCTGTCAAATTTGATCAACTGAAATCCACCTGGGGGTGAACAGACGGTCTACAGTAGACTGGGGAAATGGCAGGTGCTCTGCCCATTTATACTATTGTGGGGGAGGGCACGGAGTTCCCACCAAAACTGTTAAAAGCTGTTTAATCTTCCTGGCAACAGGCCTTCTCAGGCACAGCACCCATAATGTGTGATTGCACAGATGGCCACTTGAAGAACAACATTTACAGGTAAGCAACCTGCCTTTCCCTTGAGTGAGAGCCCTCTTTTATTACTGTCCCTTCTGGAAAGGGGCACAAAACACATCTGTTTGGTTTAAAGTTCAGTTGCTAGATTGGTATGTTCTTGCTGCTGGTACTGCTCTTTTTCTCTTTGCTGTTTGATGTTTATCAGTGTTTCCCACCTTAAAGGACAGATACTGAATAATGATTTCAAGGGTAATGAGAAGTAGCTTGACTTCTAGTTACACTTAGGGAGGCTGAAGCATTGTCTCTTGTAACTTAGAGATGCTTACTGTGCAAGTGTTTGTGCATCTTTGTTCCATGGCGGGCGAGTAGAAGCTAGGTCTCCAGTTGTTTTGGATTTCAGCTCCCAGAAGACCCTGCCAGCATGGGCAGAAAGGCTGGAGTGGAAGTCCAAAACATCAACCCACTCGTGTTCTACAGGGATGGTTCATGCTTAGTTCTTCATATACATGTAAGCAGCTATGTCCACCTTGCTGAAAGGCATCTTGCATGGAGAAATGCTAGCATGGACTGAGCTTTAAGAAGGTACTGCTACAGCTATTTATGTGATTGTGAGGAGTGAGGGTGGATGGACAATATTGTTCTGGTTGTAGAACAACTGAAGGCTTAATTCACCTTCATTTTATGCTATTGTAGAGTTTAGTTAATTAATTGGTTAGTTTAAGGCATGAACCTATGTTAATTTAGACAGAAAAAAGCCTGTAACTGGGGCACACTGGGTGGTGTAGGCTTTTTTTCTGTCAAAACTTGCATAGGATAGCACACTTAACTGCTTAAAAATCTTCTAATGAGTTAAAAGAAAACTTGCCCTCAATCCTTTCAAGACCAATTGTTGTTGTTGTTGTTGTTGTTGTTGTTGTTTTAAACTGTGATATAAATGTACAATTTTACAAATAAACTGTAGACAGCATACCAATCTTGTAAGAGGGATTTCACTTTCCCTGCAGCCCAGAAGAGAGAATGCCTCTTCAAAGATGGTGCCCATGGTGTCATAGGTGTATATCACCTAAAGATAAAGGAAATGTGATTTAATTCAGAACTGTTGGATTTCTGTATGCAAATACATGCAGATTTAGCCAACGCCTAGTAAAAGCTTTGTGATTGTTCAGCTAAGGACATGATTATATGTATGTTTAGAAAGAAAAAAATTCTTAAAGTTCCCAGCATTGCCTAGTCAGCCTTGGGGAATGCTTGGAGCTGTAATGCTATTTTCACTATAAATGTGCATAAGATTGTGCTCTAGAATGTATTCAGCTGAGTGATAGCCAGTATTTCTCCATACAGTTTGCTGTCTCTAATTTGTGTATAGGATAAAGCATCTGTGAACTAACCAGAAATACAGGGAAGAAGCTAATAGTCACCCATCTAAGAAACATAATTTTGAGTTATATTTTAAGCTATTTATTTATTGCACATAGACCCCACTGTTTCCTCCACGAGTGACTTATGCATTGTCTCCCTACATTGTCCAATTTAACAGGGCCAGCTCTGGTTAGCTTCAGCAATAGAAATGTTCCTTCATACTGTCCTTTGGCTCATTTGGTTTCAAACAACTTCTAGACTTCTTTATGAAGTTTACTTAACTGATTTCTGTAGTGGACTGTAGGAGAGAAAGGAAGCTTCTGCTCACTCTTGCCATCCACTAATTATTGTGCTACTTTGTCCTTAAGATAATTAGACAAATTTCTTGGAGGCCAGAGATGGTTGGGTGTCATATACTTAAGTAGTCGTGACTTTCCTGTTAGGGAAGCCTCCCTGCAACCTTTTAGAATATTGAGGATATTGGCTCCTTGGGAGAAATTTGAGAAGTGTAAATGTGCAAGACATTCAGATAATTTATTAGTACATCATTCAGTAACTGGAATACTGCTTGGCCTAGTGGAATATTCTTTGCCTTCCCAGAGTTTCTCCCAGTGTACCTATTGCAATACCCTGAAGGTTTAAAAATGTACCAGAATACAGTACAGTATATAATGCTCAGAAGACTTGCTCTCTCTGAATTGTATATTCAAAGTATACACAGGCCATACAAGTTTTTTCTGTTCAGTGTCCTTTGTTAACTAACTTCAAGTGAAAGGAGAATAGGAAAAAGCCAATTGAATATGGTCTGTTCTGTTAGCAGATTTGATTATTTGTTTTCAGATTTCTGTATCCGACTGGGTCAAGCAGAGTATGCCTCTTTGTCAGCTGATCCAATTAAGTTTCACTAGTTTTGGAAGTCATTTGATTAAATACATTTCCGTATCCATTAGTATAGCATCCATTGTTTGATTTCATCCCTCTTAAAGCGGAAGATCTTTTTTCTTCCTGAAGGACCAAATATCCATGAAAGTTTTGTGGTGGTGGTAAGCCGACTGTCACCCTTCCCTCAACACTGGAACTACTGTGTCCTCCTAGTGATTTCTCCATGATAAAACAAAAGGTGGAAAGCTCAGTAATCCTCAGTCACAGCTATGATACCTCAGGGTCTCGTAACATTCTCTGTCCTGCCCGCACCCCTCCCGGTGACCCGTAGGCTACAGAATTCCATTGTTAATTGTCTGGTCCCCTCAGAGCAGTAGTTTTAATGCAGTCACAGTCTGAACAGAATGTAGCCTCCTTCTCCCCCAAGGCACCTTGGGTCGGCAAGAAACAGAAGGCACTTAGCCGGCTGTGGCACAATGGGGGCCAGTGTTGGGGTCACTGCTAAATAAGTGGTAATATTGTCTGCACTGTCAGCAGTCAGAAAGGCGTTCCTTAAGGATAGAAATAGCGAGCATTTCTGGTGTGATGGTTAATATGGATGAGTGAGAAAGGCAGCTCTGTTTCTCTTTGCAACAGAATCATTCCTGCGTACCCCCTTCTTATTCCAAGTGTTTGTAACATACCCTTTGTGAAAGTTGTGCTTATTCATGTGGCTTTTTTCACAGCTTAAGAGGCCAGACTTCAGGTGTCACTGCAGTGAGGCTGCTTTGCTAATTGCCACTCTGATGGAAAATAAAATGGGGACAGTAATATTAATAATTAATACTTTTGCGAGGCTGTAGCAATTTTCTGCATGAGGGATTTAAGTGCTTTAAAAAACAATTATGAACTGTGCCTCTCAGCCTGGCTACCGTAAGTGAGGTGGCTGGCAATGTAGTATGCTAATACCCTGCTTTGGTCTTCTTCATTTTTGCTGCAGGCTCTGAAGATTGTTCTAGAAACTTCACCAGTTCAAATGGTACTATTGAATCCCCAGGATTTCCTGATAAGTATCCTCATAATTTGGAGTGTGTTTTCACCATCATGGCCAAGCCAAAGATGGAGATCATCCTTCAGTTTCTAACCTTTGACCTCGAGCATGACCCCTTGCAAGTTGGGGAAGGAGATTGCAAATATGATTGGCTGGACATCTGGGATGGTATTCCTCAAGGTAAGGATTAAAGCGACGTATTGCCAATGCTTTCTTCCATATCTGGCTATTGTCAAGCTAACAGCATCAATTTTAAGTCTGAAGAATTCCATAAAGGTCATAAATTGCTAACATTCTGTGGCTCAATCCAATTTCATATTTTGTTGCCTTGTCCTTAGTGGAGGCCAGAAGTTAAATTGAACACTGATGGAGTTCTCCTCTCTATTTCTTTGCTGGCATTGCACAGACATGGTTTGGTGTTACTTTAGATAATGTAAAAAGACATTTAATCTTTCAGATAACCTGACTGATATAATTGAAGTGTGGAGATCAGAAAATGGAATCTTAGTGACACTGAAGTATTAATTAATTAATTACATTTCTAATCCTCCCAACTCTGGGTATCTTACAGACAGTTAAAAAACTAAAATGCTCCAGAACAGTTAAAAATATAAAATGTGGTATAGATATGTAACTGAATAAATCAGTATAATGCAGAACAGTGAACAGAACAGATATGACTGAAACAGTCATAATAACTTGGAACTATTTTACTGAAAGGCCTGGGAGAAAAGAAAGGTCCTTGTCTGGTGCCAAAAAGATAGCAACACAGGTGCAAGGTGAACCTCTTTGGGGAGTTTATTCCATAAGCAGTGTACCCTCACTGAAACGGTCCTTAAGCAACTTAACCAGAAAGTATAGAGTCAGCATTTATTCTGTGTTAGTTGCACATAGAATAAAGGCTTTGCATGTCACACTGAGTACAATTTTTGTGGTAAAGTGTCTGAGAATGTTATCCATTAATGGGTTGATCACAGTTTTGCAATACAATATCTTGAAATGGATGCATTAGAAACATAAATACCAGGAGCTTAGGTTTTTCAGCAGCCCACAGATGCCTGATTGCATCCTGAGAATCTCCACAGTGACCAGGTAGAAGAGCTTTACAGCTCTGGCTTCCGCACTGTGTGATCATATGCCATTTTACTCAGAATTAAGCTCCACTGGGTTCAGCAGACTTATTCCCAGGTATATTAGGTAACATTGGAGCTAAACTCATTCAAGGCCTGGCAATTGAGAGTAGATTTTATTTTTATTTTTGGAGGGGGGCATAGAAGTCTGTGCAAACCCAACTGCAGATGGATATTTTAAGCTTAAGTGTCCATTTAAACTAATCTACATTGCCACCTTTCAAAGAACAGTTCTTACATATTTGTAGTACAACATGTGCCTGCTTTCCCCTTGCATTTTCATTGGGTTAGGACTGTTTATGGATTGCTTACTCTTGGCTCTTTATTGTTAAGGACCTTTCTAAGCCAACCAAGCAAGAGGTCAATGAGTTTGTCTAACTGAAAGGTAAACTCTGCTTTTCTTCTGTTTCTATTGCAGTTGGCCCCTTGATTGGCAGGTACTGTGGCACAAAATCTCCTTCAGAGATCCGTTCAGCTACTGGCATCTTGTCACTTACATTTCACACAGATTTGGCGGTGGCTAAGGATGGCTTCTCTGCTCGCTATTATTTGGTCCAGCAGGAGGTTCCAGAGAGTAAGTTGGCACTTTGTTCAGCCTGAGTGTTAAATTCCATATTCTGCACTGGTGACATGGAACAAACAAACATGCAGCTGTGTTTGTGTGACTTCTGAATTCACCATCTCTGAATGCAACAGCAACATTCAGATTGTGATGGAGGAGAAATCAATATAGAAATTATTTTCAGTTTAATGACTGGGTGTTGCCACTTAAATTTCATGACAGAATTCAGATTTGGCTACCCAGATATTTATTTTATTTTCTGTTCTGAAGTTGTTGCAGCTGCAATGCTGACTTTGAAATTGCTGTAGAAATTCTAAATCAAAATTACAATTGCAAAAAAAAAAAACTTGCAAAACTTAATTTAGATTTGTTTCAACTCTCAAATTCAAGGTTTTTACAACAGAAATGAGTCTGAGCTGTGCTTTGTATAGTAGGAAGGAAGGAAAACGTTGGAAATCATGTCAAGAATCCAGGAATTTGAATACATGGAATGTTATCAGTTGTCTCTTCCTGCTTTGTGGGACATTAAATCCATTTCTTTCTTGGTTCTGTTCCTATTAATAGCTTTTTCAGTGTGCTTAGAAAACAGGAGGAGTCAAGACAGAGCTCTCACTAGTCAAGGAAGGGGGGACTGGATATAGAAAACTAGCATAGCCAAAGTAGGGCCAGCCTTTCAATTGGCCAGAGCAAGGCAGCTGCCTCAGTCAGCAGGTGTGGTGGGGTGGAGAGAAATGACAAGAGCAAGTCAGAGTGCATAGCTGTGTCTGCAGCATAACCCACCCAGCATCACCTAAGTCAGGTATGTTGGACCTTTTCAGAGAGGCTTATCCACCAAAGATGAATGGTGGGTAGGACTTGAAGGAAAAGGAGCAGCCAAAAATAGCAGCACATTTTAGCCTAAAGCTCTTTCTGCCAGTGACTAAGCCTTCAGAGAGGCATGTCAATATTTTTAGTATTGCACTGGGCACGCAAACATGAGGAAACCACCAATGATTGGTAGTCAAGGAAAAAGGTAGAGGCCATCTAGTGACATGGGGAAAGCAAGCATAGTTATTTAGGGAACCCTACAGGGCAAGATGAGGATTCTGGCAGGCTGAATTTCGCACCTGCATTTGAGGTTCAACACCCCTGCCATAAGCAATCCTGCTGCTCCAAGGGCAGTAGACAATGTGTCGCCTCACTAGCATTGAAGCAAGATTCATTTTCCAGTCCAGTTAACTTCTATATGTGGAAGTGTAGGTGGGGACCATCTTGTCCTCCAACACTGATAGCAAAAAATCTTGGGCTGTCCCTGATCAAATGGCTCTTAGAAGGATTAGATGAGTGATGGAGAATGTGTACCTTCCAGATGTTGTTCAACTGCAGTTCTCATCACACCTGACCATTGACTACACTGGTTCAGGCTGCTGGGAGTTGCAGTTCAGCCTCAACAAATTGAGTTTCAGTTTTCTTTCTTTACTCCAAGACAAAGCAGAACAAAAAACAAAACTCCTAGAACATCCACATAGTAGTGATAATGCTGCAGGAAAAAGCTGTAACATACTTACTCCTTTTGCAAAATGCAGAGTTTTCTGTAGCATTTGTAGTTCTTAGCTGCTAGATTTTTTGGGGGGTTCTTTGAAGGAGATGTTAGGCCAAGAAAATTTTGGATCTCAAACTTCACCACGCATGCGAAGCAATTTGCTAGGGCTCCATGTATGCACTCCTTCATGACTTTTTCTGCCCTGTGAAATATATTAACTTTAAACAGGTTATAGAGGCATGTTTATGCTTACTTTTGTAATTGTAAATGCTTTCATTTGATAGGATATTGGCAGGCAGTTAGTGGCAGTACTTTTAAGATGCATAGACGGATTTGTGTTTTCCACTCTACCTTCTCTAGACTTCCAGTGCAACAGTCCCCTGGGGATGGAATCTGGCCGCATTTCCAATGAGCAGATCACTGCCTCCTCTACGTACTCTGATGGCAGGTGGACCCCACAGCAGAGCCGACTCAATAGTGATGACAATGGGTGGACTCCTAATGTGGATAACAACAAGGAATTCCTGCAGGTATTTTCAGCTCTGAGTATATTAGCACTGAGCAAGTAAGGAGAGATACCCACACAGTGTGAAACAATAGAGAATGAAGCCATTAAGTGATGTCAGGATTAACAATGGTTGTGCTGTCAGGGAACTGGTGTTATGGGATGTGTAAGATAATTTTGTCAAGACCTGGCCTGCTAGCATTCCTTAGCTAGCATAAGGTTTCCTTGACATGGGTAGGCATGCTGTGTGTCCATGGAAGTAGCCTTGGCTGGGCGATGCATGAGGAACAAGTGTCTTGGCTTAGATGCATAGTTTGTCTTGGCAGGGAACTGCAACTGCCCTTCTGGCCTTCAAGTTTTCTCCCTGCTTCGCCCCACAGTGCTCACACTTTTTATCCTTGAACCAGGATGATTTTCATGCTGTTACCCTGACTCCAAAGCATGAGGTTTGTGGAATCTTCTGTCACTCCTGTTGCATGCTGGGAGCCAGTAGGAGAGACTTGAACTGCTCTTTGGCAAGGGTGGTGTGTGTCTTGTTTTTATGCACGGAAGGCTGCATGATTGGGCCATTAACATTTCTGCAGAAGTCTCAGCCTGACCTGGTGCCCTGAACCTTGATAGGCTTTCCAGAGGACTAAGAGGGAAAGCTTGTGGCCACTTATAAGTCTGTTGACTTTTAAGTCTGTTGACTGTAGTCTAAATGAGTGGAACTTTCTCATGTGTGTTGGGCAAGTACAACTAGAATAATATTTATTTTGCTGGAGATCTAGCAGCAGCTGGGAACTCCAGCAGGAACATATGACAGAATGGCTTTAGCAAGGGCTACACAGAACCAATTCACGAAGGAGATCATTGTGGATTGGACAGAGCACTGTAGGATGATGAGTGCTGAAGGGCAGACACTAGAAGCACAGAAAGGTCATTGCCTGCAGCAGATGTCCAATTTTTCATAGCCCAATTACAAGGTTGGTGTGTCTGTGACCTTTTATAATCTACATCACTAAGAAATTTCTGAAAAGCATGAATTGGACATCACAACTTAATCTTATGTGTGGAAAACACCCTCTTTTCTCACCCATGATAGGTTGATCTCTCAAAGATCTCAACAAGATCTCAGTGTTTGTGAAGATTGTGTTGCTTGAGATTTGCTTTTATTCAACAGTAATAATATCAGGGCCAAAGTATCAAAGTCCTTTACTCAGCTCAGGATTGGGGTTCCTCCTCCCCCACAATCCAGCTTGAACCAGAAAAATGCTCCTTTCACTTCTGCAGTCTGTTGGCATTTGCTTGCAACAGGCTTCACAAAATATTGCAGGCTGTGGTGATTTGTGGTGGGGTGGGGGTATGCTGTTTGATTAATTATACACTGGTAAAGGGACACAGCCTGCTTAAACTCAAATTGCTTCCACTTGAGTGTACAATATTTATTTATTTAGAGATTGTAACTGAGGCTGAAATCAAGTTTTGCTGTGCATTTTGTGAAAAGCAGCTGGAGAATTTTATCCCAGAAGTGTTTACAGTCCGATCTGATGAGGCAGATAGATTGGGATTGGAGCGAGGGAGGGGCCAGGATACCAAAATGTACTGAAATTCTCCCTCGATTATGAAAACTGCAACTAAGCCAGGCAGGTTGAAAACATTTCCTTCTATGGCTTACATGCTGCCACATCTAGGAATGTTAACTCAGCTGGTCTGAAAATTGATCCTATTAAGTTCTTATACTGGAACAGAGCTTAGACAGAATAGGCAACTCTAAACATGGCCAGTGGCAAAAAGCTACAGCTGCGTCACAGTCATCTGCTGAAAATGAAATACTGTCATGCTAATTTATACCAGCTGAGTACCCAATCCTCAGGTCTGCTTTAAGCTCTATCCTCCTTGAAACAGCTGCAGCCCAGCACGGTGAGCCCTGGAGAACCCCTTTAGCACAACACACTGCTGCTGCGTACTATCAGCAGCTCTCTGAGGCCCACTGTGGTTTAGCTGGAAGGCCAGAGAGAGCCCCAACTCCACATTACAATGATATGCTAACAGCAAGTTCTGTGTCCATGGCTTTCTAGTTCTCATCATCTTGGTATGCATCCTAGTCCAGTTTGACAGCCGTTAAAGCTGTTCCAAGAACATTGTTAACTGAATATACTTAGAATGTTTCAAGCAACAGGAATATTGCTTTTAATAATGATCTTGTAACATTCTTGCCATTCTTCTCTCACCCTGGTTCCTTCCTGGCACCCGCCCTGGCTTCTAGGTGGATCTTCGCTTTCTGACAGTGCTGACAGCCATTGCTACACAGGGTGCCATCTCCAAAGAAACACAGAATGGGTACTATGTTCGGTCATACAAATTGGAGGTCAGCACAAACGGCGAGGACTGGATGATGTACCGACATGGCAAAAACCACAAAGTAAGTGCTTTTCACTTCCCTCCCCATATAATTCCAGACTGCAAAACATTCTGTTGATGGTGGAATGAAAGGTTTAAATCAAGTGAAGTCTGTAAAGAGTTTTGGTGCCTTCTGGTTCACTGCCAAGACATAAAACATGGAGTGTGTCCCCCTGCCCAAGCAATCCTTCTTACCTCTTGAGGGATGAGGAAACGACGTTCCTTGGAAAACCTGGCTGCCGTTCTGCCTTGCTCAGTGGAGAGAGAGTCTGCGGCATGTCTTTTGACTACAAATGAAGGAGAAAATGCTTTCACAGCCTGTGTTTTTTTTCGTACAAGATTCATTGAGCATTTATGGCCTGAGCCTCGTCCACATGCTGGGTTAACAATCACAAAACCACATGAAACTGCAGTTCAGGAGTTATTGAGGCCTGGAAAATGAAAGGGCACAAATCCTGAGAGGGGATAGCAATGTCCTAGAGAATAAAGCCCAGCAATAAATAATGAGGAACAATTTGGTTTGTCAGGGATAGGGGATATGTAGCCGCAGCAGTGGTTGGCAGTGATGCATCGAGGGCTCTGTGCTTATGCCTATAAATATGGCCGTGCTGACCCTTGCGGATCCCTTAGCCTCAGAATGCTTAGTGTGTGCTCAATGGGGGTGGGGTGGGGTGGGGTGGGGTGGGGGATTGTTCTGGGCAGGTGTGTGAGGGGGAGCATTCAGGACGGAGTGCAGCTGTGTATAAAAAGCTGTAGCTGTGCCTGGGAAGGTTCAGTGCTATCAATTATTGGAGCTGTTCTTGTGAAGGTAGTTCCAAACTGGTGCTTGATGCTCTGTTGCAGAAGAGCCTCCAACAGGGATGTGCAAACTCTCTGTGAACCGCTGTAAGTCACAGGAAAGGAAACATTTAGATGCCAAATACTGAATAAGGTGATGGTTGCTGGCCCATAGGGGTGGTAACTTCCTGTTGTCTTTCAGAGCTCCCTAGGAAGATGTAGGCAGGTCCTAGGGGGCTTTGAAGGGCCTCTATTTTTGTTTTCACTTTCAGTGTCTGCTATCCCCAAATGAAGCAACAAATAATTTCATTCCAGTCCAGCCCAACACTAGTTTGTATCCAGAATGTTGCATGTGAGTGGGAAGATTTTCGTACACTTCCAGAGGGAAGGAGACCATCTTTTCCCATTGCTCCTTCACAAAGAAGCAGGTTAGGATGTCCAAAAAGTGATCTTCCTGTTGCAGCTTTGTTATTTCAGTGATGTGGCACCGGCAACACAGGCAAAGAAGAAGACATGCAGTACAGATCTTAGCTGCTGGCCCAGCCTCCCAGGAGTTGCTTGAGGAAGGGAGCTCCAGATCATGCCTGGGGTCATGTTTTTGGTCACGTTGCAGCTCTGCCTTTCAGTGACTTGTGAACCATCTGCATTTTGAGTGCTTGTTTTAAATAATTTAAATGTTTTATTAAAATGTTGTAAAATCGGATACCATCAATAAAACCTGTAGTCCATAGATTGTGGAACAGCCAGCAAAAACAAGTGGGTCTTCAGAGCCCACCCAAGGATGTTCAGAGAAGGGGCCTGCTGGACCTTGATGGAAGCAGACTGCAGAGGTGCAGGGCCACCTCTTGTTCCACCTCTGGAAAGGTCCTCTCTCCTGTTCTTACCAACTGAATCAACCTTGAAGTTAGCCAAATGAGAAGGGTTTTTGCTGATGGCTTCTACAAGGCAGCCTGGCAAGGGTAAAGGCTTTATAGGTTATGACCAGCATTTTAAATTCCCCAGAGAAGTTCAGCTATAGGACAGTATAGAAATGAAATAAGTAATAATAAAATTATTTAAATTGGGCTCAGAGGTGCACTAGCAATCAGTCCTATTTTCCATTGTCTGCTTTGATTCCATCTGAGCCCTCCATTTGGGAGCTTAAAATGCTCAAACTATTTAGGTGACTATGAGTCAAAGGAGAGCCCCCATGCAAGCAGTATGAACTTATACGTGTAGAGTAGACATAGGACCCCCCCCCACTCCCAACCAGTCCAGAATTAACTAAAATGAGAGCTGCCCCTGTGTTAGGCTGCAAGAATGAAACGGGGACTCTTGATTGCACAACATTCCCAGTCATGTAGAGGACTGTAACTGCTCAGCCAAAGGTGATGGGGTGGGGGCTAGCATGTGCATCCCCTCCTGGGGTGTCCTCTTCAGGCTTACAATTCTATAACATTGGTATAGAGCTCGGGCCTTCATGGCTTTCTCTCATCCCCACCCACCAGATCTCCCACCCACAGGGCCCACCAGTTTTGTCATAGAATATGCAAACATTTTCCATCTCGGGTCACCGAAAAAGAAAGAAATTCAGTGCAGCCCTTTTGGTGAATCTAAGCCAAGTTTCATCTTCCAGCAGGATTCAGAGGGAGATGATTCATGTGAGATTATATCTGCAGTGTTCACAGATTTGGAGAGCAGTTAAAAACCATGCTCAGGAAGAAAAGGCAATCAATTACTTGAGATTGTCACTTATAGGAAATTTGCCGTTCACAGCAAACTGATATGTGAGGTGGATTTTGATCAGATTTTCATGCCACTTTTGACTCTCCTCTATTTAACCTGTTTGACACAGTGCTCTAGTAATGCTCATCTGGAGCAAATAGCTTGGAGCGGCAAGCAAGTCAATGGCTTTTAAAGCTGATCCAAATGAGTTGTGGGCATATTGTTTTGTGTTGCTCCAGAAATATACCTCCCCTGGCATGCTCAGTTCTGCATGTAGTGTGGCAGGGCTGCACATGCCAGTCCTTTCCCCAGGTCCTGCCCCTGCAGCTTCCACCCCGACCTTCCTGTTGCTGAGTAGGGTAGCCTAAAGTGGTGATCCTGTTGCATCTGGCTGAATGTGCTCTCTCTGAATTACTTAGGAATCCTCTGTGACTGCAGTTCTCAGCCAAGGGATACAAAAATGTTCCCTTCAGACCTCACTTTTCAGGGAGCCAGAGGAAGTGGGGACATTGAGGGCAGTGGGCCGTAACTTCCTTCCAATCTATTCTTCCTCAAGATTTTCTCCCCTAAACGAAATTTTCTCCCAGTTTGCTAGATATTGGGCAGCAAAGATGGAATCCCATGTTTCCCTCTGATGTGCACCCCTGTGGAGGTAGCCATGGGGTGTGCAGGGGAGATGAGCCAAGTAACCGGAAGAACACTTCACCCTTTCTTCACCTGTTGCTTTTCCTCTTTGACCCCTCCTTCCCTTTCCCCCTTGACTGTAAAACCTGCTGTCCATGCCAGATTGCAAGAACACTGAGAAAAAGCAGCTGCTGGGGAAATTGGCCACGCATTCTCCATTGGGCAGAGTTGTTTGTTCTTTATCCCTTGTTTAAAGCACCTAGCATTAACAGCAATTGCAGGCATGGCCTGGAATAATGCTTGCAAGTTCACTAGTGGATGCTTGTCCATGGCAGCACATTTTATTCGTTTTGCAGCAGTTCCTGAGTAAAATTCACAGTGCTGGCAGTTACCTTTAAAACTTTAAATGGCTTGTTCACAGAGTGACAAAGGGACTGTGTCATCCCACATCAGCCTATCCATTTCCTAACATCTGCTGGGGAGGCACTTCTTGATTTAACATTAGTGGCTGAGATGCAGGGGAAGGCATTCTCTGATTATATTCCTTACCATAGGAGGTCTATTATGCCCTGCTCTTACTTTCTGATGCTTTCCTGGCCAAGGCTACCTTTTTCTAATTCTAGCAAGCATTTGACCTTCCAGGTTGAGGATATTCTGTTTTGAGGTTCCTTTTATCTGTGGTACACCGTTTCTTTGGTTATTTTCAATTGTTTTGTTCATTTTGCTGGCTCTTAACTGAAGTTGTTAATGCTTCCCTGATTAGTGCAACTATAATGGAAGAGTGGGATATATATCTTTCTGATAAATAAGTAAACTCAATATATTTTTTGTAGATGTATCATTAATGTGAGATAGGAAGTAGAAAGGAATCCAAATGCCCATTTTGTGCTACTGCAAAGTGTTATATTTATAGTTCAAGTGCAGGAAATACAAATAGTGGTTTCATTTGTGATAATAGCCTGTGTGGTCACTGTGGGAAGCTAACTGTGAATCTCCTCTCTCCGAAGATGCTTTCCTTCAGAATACTCAAACTATCAGCATTTCATGCACAGAATCCATCCAGGCTGGCATTGCTGGGTTGTTGAGGTGTTTTGTGGTGCATCAGTGCAGCACTGAAATACGTAACTATACCATGCCAAATAGATTTGTCAGTTCTGCCGCAGCTTGATTTGGTTCCATGAAGTGCAGAGGAAGGGGAAGAGGATGGAAGAGGACTCTGTCAAATACCACTTATGCATGTCTCTCTCTCATTCTCTCTCTGTGTGTGTGTGTGTGTGTGCGCGCGCGCGCGCCTGAGAGGGAGAAAGCCTGCAGCAAGTTCTTTCCCTGCTGAAGCTGTAAGTGGGCTCTGAGCCAAATTTAACTGGTGCTGCTGACAGGTCAGCTAGCATCTACATCTTCATGAAAGAAATTGAGAGAAAGCGCGCTGCAGAGAAGCAGGAAGAGCTGTGTCTAGCAGAACTGGAGAAGAAAGATAATATTTTTGCAGAGAGTAGAGACTAGCTCCCCAACTGCACTTCTTGTTGATGTTGAGCAAGATCCAAAACAGGAGGGACAGTACTTCAGGCTGTGAAGGCAAGCAGACCTCCAGTTCCCCAAAGCTGATACAGTGCACCAAAGGTGAGGAAATAGGGGAATGTTAAATTAAGAGGAGTATAAAAAGAATTAAAGAGAACTTGTAGCAGTAAGGGGTGGCTGTGTTGTTTTTCATAAAGAGCAGTGTAGCATATGGCAAGGAGTGGAGAAGGAAGGGGAAGGAACCTGACCAGAACTGATTGAGCTCTTCAAGTTTTTCCTCTTCCACCATCAGCAATGCAGAAGAAAGAGGAGAGAGTGTCCTTTGCACAAATGTAGAGGCCTGTCTGTCCACTCTCACTAAAAATACCTCCCTGTGTGAAATAGGAAGCCTTTAGAAAT